AACACGCACACACACACACACACACACACACACACACACATATATATATATATATATATATATATATATAAGGATATCAATACTGTATAAAATATGGTCTTCTTCAAACATATGTATGTATAAATATATATATATATATATATATATACAAGTAAATTTTTGCCTAAAATCTTTTGATTATTATTAATTTATTTTGTTTGCAAATTAAATAAGAGGGAACGTTCTAATAAAGATAATAATAATAACATAATAATAATAATAACTATAATAATAATAACTATAATAATAACTATAAGAATAATAATAATAATAACTATAATAATAATAACTATAATAACTATAAGAATAATAATAATAATAACTATAATAATAATAACTATAATAATAACTATAAGAATAATAATAATAATAACTATTATAATAATAACTATAATAGTAATAACTATAATTATAAGGATATTAATAATAATAATGGGAAATTCTGTGAAATTACATTAACAATGTTGTAACATTTTACTTTTTTATTGTTCTCTCTTCCCCGAACTAAAGTTTCAAGGTAAACTCTCTTAACTATTATCATCATCATCTACATCACCATCATTATCATCATCAACATTATCATCATCATCTACATCATCATCATCATCCAAATTCTCATCATCACCCAAATTCTCATCATCATCCAAATTCTCATCATCATCATCTACATTCTCATCATCATCTATATTTTCATCATCATCATCATTGTTATCATTGAGATCGTCATATACGTCATATGTCTGTTTGTATGTGTATATATATGCGTATGTGTGTTTGTGTGTATGTGTGTATGTGTGTGTGTTTTCGTTCGTTGGTTATATATGTATGTGATTCTATATAAATCATAAGTGTTTCTGTTGGATATGTTTGCATATGTGTATATATGTGCATGTATATAAGTATGTTTTGTACGTGTACGTTTTAGCTTGTGTGTATGCTTGTGTATGCTTGTGTATGTATGTATGTGTGTTTGTGCGTGTTAGTGTATCAAACAATGAATGCCCAGCCCATCATGTGAAAGCAACTAACTTAATAGTTTAAAAAAACGCCACGTGACGTAAAAATTTTATCATCATCATTGATGTTTTATTATTATTATTATTATTATTATTATTATCATTATCATTATCATTATTATCATTATCATTTTTATTATTATTATTATTGTTTCTATTATTGTTTTTTTTGTCGTTTTTATCACTCTTTGCTTGGTGAATTTTCACCTTCTCTTTCATTGTCGCCATCATCGTCAGTTTTCATCGTCGCGAACATCGTACATCAAACATCACCATCTCCGTCATCATCATCATCAGCACACGATCACACACATACACACACCACACACACAAACACACATACACACACACACATACATACATACACAGAGACACACACATACACAAACACACGCACACATCATTATTTTCTTCTGCAAAATGTCAGTTGCTGCCTATTTAATAAATTTTAGTTAAAACAACTGTTAAAGGAATAATTTTGGCAAGAAAATTATTTCAAGTATTATAATAAAAAAAAATTAACTAAATAAATAATTATAAAAATTAGTTGAAGGTAGTAGTAGTAGCAGCAGTAGTAGTAGCAGCAGTAGTAGTAGCAGCAGTAGTAGTAGCAGCAGTAGTAGTAGCAGCAGAAGCAGTAGTAGTAGCAGCAGCAGCAGTAGTAGTTGTAGTATTAGAAGTAGTAGTAGTAGTAGTAATTAAAAACCATAGGAATATAGGCAAGGCACAATACTGAAATTAATAAACAGATATAGAGACAATGCCTTTATCCTCAAACAATTCATCCAGTCTCATTCATAACGTACGTAGCGATAATTAAGAGAGCTAGGACGATGACGATGACTATGACTATGATGATGATAATGATGATGATGGTGGTGGTGATGGTGTGGGTGGTGGTGGTGGTTGCAGTGGTGGTGGTTGCAGTGGTGGTAGTAGAAGTGATGACGATGATGACAAGCACAAAAATTATGAAAAAAATTATGACGGTGATGATGTTAACCATGGATGCAATCAATGATGACGATGGTGAAGATAACAATGTTTTGTAGTTGCTGTTTCTGTTGTTGTGGCTGCTGCTGCTTCTGCTGCTGTAGCTGCTGACGATGGTGACGACAACGACGACGAGGACGACGATGACAATTATGTAACAAGGTTGATTTTATTGATAAAAAGATATTGAATCAGATGTCAGTGCGATAGGTAAAGTTTAAAAAAAAATATGGCAAATGAAAGATATTATAAGAACAATCTTGAAAACAACAACAACAATAACGATTGCAAAACAAGAGCAACAACAATAACGATTGCAATAACAACAACAACAATAACGATTGCAACAACAACAACAACAATAATAATAATATTAATAACAACAATAACAACAATAACAATAACATTGCCGGCAACGTAAGCGGCTAATTTTAATCACCCCATTCTATCCTGTTTCTCGCAATTACACGTAGCGCTCAATTTTTAACAGCTACAGTAGTAGTAGTAGTAGTAGTAGTAGTAGTAGTAGTAGTAGTAGTAGTAGTAGTAGTAGTAGTAGTAGTAGTAGTAGTAGTTATAGTAGTAGTTATAGTAGTAGTAATAGTAATAGTAGTAGTAGTAGTAGTAGTAGTAGTAGTAGTACTATTATTATTATTATTATTATTAGTAGTAGTAGTAGTAGTATTAGTAGTAATAGTAGTAATAGTAGTAGTAGTAGTACAACTAGTAGTTTTAAGAGCTATATATATATCAATTTTTTATCTATCCATCTACATATCGTTTATTCATTTTTTTATCTAATCAAAACTATATAATAATGAGGTGTGTGTATATATATATTTGATAATATATTGTATCTATGTTGTATCTATATTCAGTACCATTTGTATTGTATTGGTTGTATCGATTGATATTGTATCCATTCATTCATTCTTCAATCCATCTATCTATTTATCTCAATTTTCATCGTTCCACACATTTGTTTAAATCTATTTTGTATTCGCTTTAGTTAATTCTTTTATTCTATTCTATGAACCGTACTTTCGTTCATTCAAGTAGGAGCGTAAACATTTTTTTAAAAGAAACAATTGAGTTGTTCGGTGTCAGTATCATCGTCATCACCACCACCGTCCTCATCATCATCATCACCATCATCATCATTTCAATTGTCATCATCACCATATCAATCATCACCATCATCATCGTCATCATCATCAATGGAATCGTGTTTGTATTATCTATTTCATCATCGTCGTCGTCATCATATTTACTTAGTGTTATGAAAATGCTCAGAGTACATATACCTTGAATACACGTTTGCAGTATCATAAAACATATTTCTAATGCAAATTGCTTGAGCACAAACAAAAGAGCTAATGAATAAACAACAGGTGGTATATACATATACTTACACACACACACGGCACACACACACGGCACACACACACGACACACACACACGGCACACACACACACACGACACACAAACGATACACACACAGATACAAACACGTACACACACTCAACTCATACTGCCTCTAGATAGAATGATGATTCTGTATCCTCAAATTACAAACACCCAAACACACACTTATATACACACACACATTCATGCTTTCTGTAGTCTTAAGTTTTTAAAATTTCATCTTTATTTCTCTCTCTTTCTCTTTTTCTCTCGCTTTCTCTTTCTCTCTTTCTCTCTCTCTCTCTCCCTCTCACTTTCACTTAATTATTTTCGGTTTTTAACAGATTCACAATTGAAAAAATATAACCAGAAAGTTAAAACGCCCTGCGTTGAAATTTTACCCCAATTAAGAAACTTTACACAATAATTATACCACAATTTTACGCACATATACACACACACACACAATTACACACACACACAATTACACACACATACAAACGTATTTTTTATTAATAATTGCATTTTTAATAATTTCATAAATTTCCGGTTTGGTTTTAAAACAAATTTTACGCCATGTACCATCCCTCAAACAAACACAAACACACACACACAAACGAACAAACACACAAACAAATAAATATACAAACACACAAACAAACAAATAAACATACAAACACACAGACAAACATACTGTCGTTACATCATTTAAATTGCCACATCAAACGTAGCCACAATAACTTTCCACAAAAATTACTATTGAACGTAAAAATATCATTAAAGATGACAAAGAAAATAGAGAGATGATGAAGATAAAGAGAGAGTGAGAGAGAGAGAGAGAGGAAGAGATGAAGGAAGAGAGAGAAAGAGAAAAAGAGAGAATTATTAATATAAATTCTCAAGCCTGCATCTGATCTGATATGATTGAAAAATTATTAAACACGCTAAGTTGGTTACCTAAAATATTTTGTCGTGTAGGCTAATTAAGTTCTGTAATAGCAACGTTTCAACCTGTTGTACGTGTATTCTGATATTTAATTATTACTAATTATGTATGTATTACTAATTAATTAAAAGTTATATAATATTTTATCAATTTATTAATTAATTAATTAAAAATAATATATATTAATAAAACTAACAACATTGTATGTAAAAATTACATATAAATAAATACCTTTTGCTTATTGCTATCAGATTTTAATGATAGAGAACAAATTCTCATTCAAATGTTCATATTCTAATTTTTGTAAATCCAAAAAGTGAGAAAGAGAGAAAGAAAAGGAGAGAGAGAAAAAGAGAGGGAGAGAAAGAGACTTAACGAAAAACGACAGAACATTTTAATCAGCATCAACAACAACCACAACTACTACAATTACTACTACAACTATTCCTACTTATAAAACAAAGTCAACAGCAAAAACATCAGTAACTCCATCAGTCATCAACAACAACCCATAGCGAACCATAAAAATCATACTCAGCAACAACTAATACAACAATAACAACAACAACAACATTAACAACAACAACAACATCAACATAAGATGGAGGCCGACGACAGCCTCTCAACAACAACTCAACTAACAGCACTTAACGACAACACCATCCATCTTTCATTTTTTCCAACAACAACAACAACAACGCCGACAACAACAGCAGCAACAACAGCAGCAAATCCCAGAACAAAAGAAGAATCCTTCATAAATGGAGACTACTCATTCCCATGGCTGTACGTTTCTCCCTTAATTCTCATCTTCGGATGTATTGGCAACATACTCATCATCTGCGTCATGCGACGAAAAAAGTTAGCTGTTTTGTTAGTATTTTTTATTAAAAATTAAATAAATATTTTTCAACATTAAAAGGTTAAATTAATTTTAATTTAAATCAGTTTTTTACGTTGGTTTTTAGTGTCTTTTTTCGTATTTTTCTTTTTTTTCGATGTTTTTTTCATGAAGAAGTAGATAAACAAACTGCACCTAGAAGGATTTTAACTGTTCATCAACGTGCAAAAAAACAATTTGCGTTAATAAAAAAAAAATAAAAATAACAAAGAGCCATAAAAATCCAAATGACGAAAAACATATATAAATATAGCTATTGCTTTAACGCTCTGTGACTGACTGATTGATAAATGATGCAGTACTAGAAAAAATTGTTTACACAAAAGAAGAATGATAAAATGATACTGTTTTTGTTAGAAGGAAGTCGGGATTTTTGTTATGGAAAACTATTAGCAAACTTGAAAATTTTTGATTTTTTTCTCCGTATCGTTTTTTCCAACTCTGCGTAATTAACTCTTCCAATGTTCTTTTTTGCATATACAATCTATTTGTATGTAGTTCTTTCAAAATATATCTCTACTGTCGTCATCATCGTCGTCGTCGTCATCATCGTCGTCACAAACTTCGAAGTTGTTTAGCTTCGTCATGAATTATATCTGAAAAAGTTATTAAGAGGACAATATCTGTGTATTTAGTTGACACACTTAAAATTAATATTAGCTTATCTTCAATTTGATCGCTAAAGTAAGTATTATTTTCATTATTTAATAGTCATTATTCGCTACGAACAAGCCATTTCCGTTTTTATCACCAAAAGCTGGCAATATCATTTGACGTCATTATTACTTCATCGTTATATCACAATTTCATTATCGTCACATCACGTCATCCTCCTCCTCCTCATCATCATCATTATTTGTAATCTTCGTTATTCTACACTGCTCACCCTACAACATCCTAGCTGATAAAATATCCAAATACGTTTGCACTCGTAAATGGCTATGATTCTTTGATTTCTAAACCATATCCTGATCAGACTTCTTCTTTGTCATCATCGTCGTCATCATCATCATCATCATCATCATCAATATCTTTACCATCGTCATCGTCGTCATCATTATCCTACTCCTAATCATCACCCAACATTCCTCGTCATCATCGTTATCTTCTCACCTCATGTTTATCATTATCACCATCATCATTATATCATTACAATTATTATTTGTGTTGTTGTTGCTGGTATTATTTATTATTGACGTTATTAATGTTATTATTATTGATATTATTAACATTGTTCTTAATACCTAATTATAAATCCACTCCATCTCATCATCCAATCAGGATGAGGAACAGTACAACGGCCGTGTACCTAGTGGGCCTAGGGATCTTTGACACTCTTGCCCTGGTTTCCAGGGTTTTGCCGGAAGTCTTTATGCATCTTCGGATAGGCACTTTTGGCGAACTTAACAAGTGGGATTTTTGACATTTTAAAAACTGGTTTTAAAATTTAATTTGTATATATATATATATATATATATATATATGGTTAAATTGTGAGGGCACTATAACAAGATCTTCAAGAGAGGAAGAAAATTATGTCGTAGAGTCAAGTGAAAACTTGAGAAGAATTTTTTATTTCATATTTATCGAGAAGGTATTAGGCATTACAAAATTGTAAATGAATTACATGTATCGATCTATTATTCTGTCCATCTGCAACTATTCATCCAACTAAATAACTTTCAATCATTAATCCATTCGTTCGTTCGTTCGTTCGTTCGTTCATTCATTCATTTATTCATTCATTCATTTATTCTTTTATCCATTCATTTATACATCCACCATCTTACACTCTATCCATCCATCCATCCATCTATCTAATCTATCCAATCGTCCAGATGGACTTGTAAGTTTGAGAAATGCATATTCTACTGGTTCAGTGACGTAGCCATCTGGCTGATAGTCCTCTTCACAATCGATCGATTCATCGCCGTTTGCTTGCCTCTCTTCAAGAGAAAGGTTGCTTCAAGATGAGCTATTCAATTTATTTCTTTTTTGCTTTCTTCTAATTTATTTAAATTCATTCATAAATTAGTCGATGCTTCGAAAAGGTTGGCTGGCTAAGAAAGTTTCGTTAATTTGAAATGTTCAAATGATTTTTTACTTGAAAAAATATAACATAACCGATTTTTCTTTGCAGATTTGCTTGCCAAAAAGAGCCTTCTGCATGATAGTCATTGTGGCATTGTTGTTACTGGGGAAAAATATTCATATATTCTGGACGCGAGGTCCGATGTATGAGAGCAAAAATTTTACATTGCCGATAAACTCAACTGAACATTTGCTGATGACTGATGTATTGAAGAGCCACCTACATGCTGCTCAAACAACGTCCTCGTCTATCGAAACTACTGGAAATGTTTCCAACCATTCACCTAGAGAGATAGTACTGAATGAAACCGTCGTCACGGTGTCGGTGCTTAAAACAAACTGCGGTCGACTCGGATACTTCGAATCGAAGATACGTCCCAGGATAGCTTTGATAACAATATCCATCATTCCATTCTGCATCATATGCTTTTGCAACGTGGCGATAATATACAGCCTGGTGAAGATGAGTAGGAAGATGAAAGTGCACAAGCGGCAGAGTAACGTGTCGGTTTTTTCCAAAATTGCTGACATGTCCATCAGGATAGCCAAAGTCAAAGAAGAAAATGTCATGCAATGTCCAACTGATTCAGATAACGAAAGAATTTCTCTTGATGCTAAACAACTCGTTAAAGATGCCAGTAGATCGAGTCATTTGAATGAATCGACAAGCACAGCTTCCAGCCAGACCAACCACCTGGCAGCACCTCCTTCCAAGAACTCCTCCGGCATGACGCAGACGACACTCATGTGTCTCAGCACGTCCATAGCATTCCTCATCTGCGTATACCCCAGCATCATCCTCTCCAACATGAAGCACCTGATGGACACGCCTTCATCGAGGACACCGTACAGGCAGGCCAGAGCCTTCTTCTTCCAGATGAGTGTGCTGAACCATGCCATTAACTTCTTCCTCTACTGCCTCACCGGTCAACGCTTCAGAAGAGAGTTGGTCAAAATGTTGAACGAGTGGCTGGATTTAATCACGTGCAAGAAATGCAAAGCCCGCAGAAAGCAGAACCTGATGTCCAGCATGAGAAGCAGTAGGTCGACGTCAATCACCTTCACTAACAAGTTGACGAAGATCGTCGAGTTGCAAGATGAAGAGAGTGGCATGAATTACAGCTCAAGCCTTCCAAACGGCGACCCACTGAATAAAGGAAATTTATGAACATTCATGAAACATTCAACGACCAATTACGCTTAAACGTATATTGACATAAATTTATATTGTTTTGCAGAGTAGAGCATTAAAAATTGATCTGACCACCGCGTTTGACTGGCTGAAGATATAATTTTTAAGTCATTCTTTCAAGTATTAGCGATATATTTTATAATATTGTGCAAACAAACTCAAGTGAATATTGCTTAATGATTGTTCAGTTTGAATTACAACTTGATAAACACACTGGCTGCTTCAACTCACATACAGACACACACACGCAAACAGACAGGTACGTAGCGAAGCAAACACACACAAACAGCAAAAAACAGACCCAAGTACATCTAAATATGAAACTTGCAATTTAAACGGTGAACATTTTTTCCATCAAAACATTTCAAGCATTGGTGCACGGCAAACGATGTAGCCATGTTACGTTCTTAAGTTCTTCGCGTCATTTTCTTCCATATTTTACCCTTCTTATTTCATTTTTTATTTCAAGTGCTTTTAGAAACTGTTTTCATAAAAATTTTTCGTTATCGATATATTTTAATACGTATGTACATGTATATATATATATATATGTTGGTATATATATATATATATATATATATATGTATATATATATATATATGTATGCATGTTATTTTAATTTATAGTGTATAATTACGTACACGCTGACTTAACATATTGACACAACACAACATACAAATACACACATACACATACACACACACACACATACACTTAGACATACATATGGTACAAACATACAACCTGTACACCAGCACACATACACTCGAAGAAATGTATTACATGCCAACTAGTCGATATACTAATAGAAACAATCTTGTTCCAATTTTCAGCAAATCATTTATTGTTTACTGTTTACACTGTTACAGTATAAACACAATTTTGAAAGTCAGTCCTCAGTTTTGTATACGAATTGCGGTTCTATACACAAACCTATACAATCATAGAGTTATATTATACGTACATCTGTACACCTCAAAATACGACTGTGCATAGTTGTACACTAGATTGTGCACAATAATTGCGTTGCGTGTGAGTATCTCCGCCGGCTATAAAGTACACGCATCAATTATAAATAAGTACGTACGTACGTATTATTTGCGAGTGTGTGTTTAATAGTTTTATGGCGCAACCAATCAGTGTTGGAATCCATAGTTTTATTCAATTCGAGTGCTTCGTCACTTCATACGCCCTGTTTTTATCAATTTTATTCACAAGCGCTAATTTGGAGAGGTTTATTTGAAGTTAATAAGGCGTGACACGGTAGAAAAGGCAGTAAAACAAAGCTCATTAATCGTTTATTGGTATTACCAAATCAATAGACTTAAACAACTATTTAGAAATATTATCAAACTTAACTACGTATATGAAATTGACAATAGATAATAGCATTCAAAACGTATATAAAATGAATCCATCAAATATTTAACGGCAAAAAAGCATTAAAACACACGTATAATATTTTTATTGTAAAATATTCAAGTACGTATTTAGAAACTTCAACCGGATATATATATATATATATATATATATATATATATATATATATATACAAACAAACGAACGAACAACAACATACACAAACACAAATGTAACAAAACACATATCGGATACGAACGAACATAAAGCATTATCTAATCTAATCTAATATTAAGCTAGCTCTTAATTTTCATACAGAATCAACTTTTTAGTACCAGAGGAGTTATGCAAATGCACCATTCTATCAAGTGATGATACATTGTAGGTATAATGAATGTATCAAAAATGTTTACAAAAACAGGCACCAACTGTATTTCTGCGTAATTTGGAAACATTAAAAAAAGAAGAAGAAATAAGCCAACAGTTCATCAAACACCGTTCATAAACAGAAACCAAAATGTCAATCGACGTACCAATAAATGAATAGTGCACAGTAAATAAATAATTAAAATCAGAAACACAAAATAAACTAACCGTATAAACTCAACAATAATTCCATATAAGACGAACTTAAATTAACTAGACGGACAATAGAATAAGCGCGTTGTAAATATAATAAATATCTCTCAATAAATGATTAAAAGAAAGTTTTAAAATAAACTGATTAATTTACTTTATAAAAAATAAATAAAAAAGAAACGAGCATTTAATTCTCGAAACAAAATAAAACAGCTCAACTAAAGAAATTAATTAGATTTTGCTGGCAAGTTTGAATTTCACTTAAATAAATTATTAAATAAATGACAGGAGAAAATAAATAAATTACTATTCAATAAATTAAACAACAAAAGAAAGAAGTATCCATTCTTGCTCAATCAATCAATCAATCAATCAATCAATCAATCAATCAATCAATCAATCAATCAATCAATCAATCAATCAATCAATCAATCAATCAATCAATCAATCAATCAATCAATCAATCAATCAATCAATCAATCAATCAATCAATCAATCAATCAATCAATCAATCAATCAAATAAGTAATCAGTCAGTTAATCAATCAACTAATTAATTAATTAATCAAATAAGTAACCAATTAATTAATTAATTGATTAATTAATCAAATAAGTAATCAATCAATCAATTAATTTTAAGCAAGTAAAATAAAAAAGAAAAATACATACACTCAGTATACAAATTGTTAACAATATTAACAAGCCATCGTCATATCCTACCTAACATCATTACTCCACGACAGCCATCATCATCTTTACACCATCATCTTCATCATAGTTACAGCACTTAACCATGGTGCAAGAGTTGTAAAAACAATTTATTAACGCAGTCCTCATCATAGAACATTATCAACGAAACCAGTAACATAAATATTTATATACATACATACTATACCAGCCACATCGGATGACATTATACTACGATCACAACTCGCCACATTAAATTACGACACATCAACACCAATATGACATTCTACTATGATAATCTGGATAACTACAACAGATCACATCATAACATTTACTCACCACCACAACTTAACCAACCACCCAAGCAAGCGAGCAATCAAGAATGACAAACAAACGTCATCATTAATGAGGCCTGAATGGGATGCTGGCACTACTACTAGTACCACTGCTGCCGCTACAGCCGCTGCAGTTGGCGGTTTCATTATTAGCGAGGAGAGAAGGAGCTTGATTTCTGCCGGTCATATAATGTGACGATGACCTCTTCATGACGTTTGACAAGACGCGACTGCTGCTGCTGCTGGCGAAGTTCTGATGCTGGTGGCTGCCGTGCGGAAAGGTCAATGAGTTCACCAGAGATTTTATCTTTATGTGAGCGCGCTGTCAGTGTTTTTTAGGATAAGGGTTTATATAAAATTCGGGATGAAGAAACATTATTTTTTTGAAATTGTAGTTAATTTTTTTCCTGATAGTCACCTGAACAGACAGGAAGTCTCCAAATACTTCAACGGAGATACCTACAGAGGGGGAGGTGAAATTCAGGTGCTCATTCAACTTTCCGCTCATGTTCTTTTTCATATCCTTTCCGTCATTAACGTTGCTGCTGCTGCTGTTGTTAAAGTTCATTGCTTTGTTGTCAGTCTGTTGCTGCTGCTGCTGCTGGAGTTCTTGAAGATTATGCTTACGGATTCTGTCTTCATAATCTAGTTTCATCTGTTGTTAGGCACGTGATAAGTATTTTTATAAAAATCAAATGAATGACATCTTCATGAAAAAAAATGTTCCAGATAATTTACAGCGACAAAATCATTTTCATTTCCATCCCCGTCTTCATCAGCCCTGTGCAACTCAAAAGTCAACAAAATCGTCATCAAAAAATCAACGTAACCCCCGAAAACAACAGCATGATCAAAAACGACAGGCAATTCCAAGTCTCCATGACAAACAGCGGTTAATAAAACAAACAACCTGCTTGTAATCAACAGGCAGTCGAACGATGGCCCCACTGATTCTCTGAATCTCTCTTACGTTCTGCCCTCTCTTACCAATCAACCTACCGACAACTGCCCGAGGCACCTTCACAAATGTCTTCAAGTGCGCCTCTCCCATGCCTGCAAATCCCTCAAGCTTCATCTTCTCAAAAACCAAGAAACATCCCTGAATGATACGACGTTTTGAGGGTCGGATGAAAGATTAAGAAAAATAATTTATAACAAAAAAAGATACAAAAAATATGTAATCAACTGACCCTCCAGCATTCGCCAAGAGAGCCCTTTATGGTTACCACTCGATCAGAAGATGGCTGCAGGATATCTTCGCCAATCTTTGGCTCAACCTGGCATGTCAAATGAAGAATTGCAATGCGGTTGTGTTGAAAATGCATGTTTATAATTTGGCAAATACTAGCCAAATACGACGTTTTTTGTGTGTAGAAATTTAATATGAAATAAATATGCGGGGAGCCAACCAACCGAGATATAAGCCCCACATTCCCTCATCATTTGCTTGATGTTCGCCCCTCCAGTGCCAATCAAGGCCCCAACCGCGGCGTTAGGTATGCAGACTTGGCACATCTCAACTGGGGGCAACATGTAGCCCAGACCTCCATCTCCGAAACCATAGTGAGGCAGATTATTGCTGGACACGCCGCCAGTCGGGTAGAGAGCATTAGGAAGACTGGTGCCCATTGGCATCATCATCTGGTTCTGTTTGGTGAGAATTACAACATATCATATTTCATATCATATATCATATATCATATAATATATAATATCCTATCATATCATATCATATCATATGTCATGTCATGTCGTTACATATCATATTTTTACTCTGCTTTTACGAAATTTCACCACCACATCAAATATCATATCATCATTATCCTAATCACAAATCCATTACATCCTCTTAAGATCGTCCTCACAAAATATCCCTCCACCATTCAACAAAACGGACACATGAATGCAGCAGCCCAACAAGCCAACAACAGTGACCACTCACCACAACATTATTCCTGCCATGTTGCATGAGGGCATGTGGCATACCATGAAGAGATTTTGCTGTCAGTAGGGACATGTTCTGCGCGTGCAAAGTTAAAGCAAGTCAGGTAAATGGGATTTGCATTTAACAAATCATTCCAAAGTGTTGTAAAATTTTTTACATAACAAAATTTCAGAAAAGTTTAAATTATAGTTAGATAGATGGATATTTATGTTCATGAGAATTTAAACTAGTTCAAAATGTCCTGTGGGCATTATTAGTGATGTAAAAAAATTTCCAGTAAACACAAACAAACTAGACGCTAGATAGAAAGAAAATTAACAAAAGCCAAACCAACATTTGGCAAACCATTCATCTTGAGAGAATCATTTTCCATGCATTGGACCAGTTTTGATGAGAGGGCAGCCTCTGCAGCCGACACACCATCCACACTGCCACGAATTGAGATGATGCGATCGGGATACATTCCTGAGACATCCTGGATACTAGTTAAAGCGAGCATGAAGAATGAAAACTAAATAACACTGCATCATTCATCTGATTAGCAATTGCAATGTACAACAGCAAAGAACAATTGTAATGGTAAATAAAAAAAGTCCACCAATAAAAAGCAAAGGTAATAAAATAATAATTGTTTAAACTTGGTGACAACAATCTTTGTAGATGTGTCCTGTTTAATCTTCTTGATGCTTCTGCCCTCCTTGCCTATTAAGCGACCACAGTACTGATCATTTGCCAACATCTTCAGCACTATATCGCTGGCTCTGTGTTTATATATTAGCATGTGTATGTATGTGTGTGCATGCATGTGTGCAATGCGCATGCGTTTGCAGGTATGTATGTATGTGTGTGTATGTGTACATGTGTGTTTATGCATGTATATGTGTGTGTACATGCATGCATGCTTTTAATCTTGTGTATTTTTTATGTTTGTACAGATTGTGCTTAAGTTTCTAGCATGGGTGTGTTTACGTGTAATGTTCCTTTGTTTCTGTTCAAGTTTACAAATTGATTTCAAATGTATATACAAATGAAAAATCAAACAAACATGGATAGCCGAAACAAAGCCACAAGTAACTTTGATTTGTGAACTTAAAAATATTAAAAAAACTCAAATATTAGTAGAAAAAACTTTTCAAAGTTAAAACAAAACATAAGCAAAAATAAGTAAGCATAAAAAGACACACAGGGACACAGACAAATATATATATATATACAAACCAACAAACAAAGAAGCAAACCAACCAACCCTTTTGTCCCAAACATATTTTCCTGAACGAGAACCTTGAGAATCTCCTTACAAGCAGCTGTTCTGTTCTCTTGCTGACCATATATGGATATCATCTAAGAAATCAATTTAATTAAAACTAATTAATTAATTTATAACCAAAAACTAAATCAATTCAGCACCTTTTCAGTGTATCCAATGTTCTCCTTTCCATGTACATCAATCCTTTCATAATTAAATGATTTCTACATTTTACTGCCGCATAATAACAACTTTTGAGACATGTTTGAGACTTTTTTTTTCACAAGGAACCAAAATTTTATTAAATAAGTATCGAAATTTCCAACATTCTTTAAATACTGATAAAATATTAAAAGTACACACACACACACACACACTACAAAAACACACACACACAACACCACTATTATATTAGAAGCAGAATTAACCAGATAGTACAAAAGGTATATAGGAAGGTACACCAATTACTACCTAGCTTTGCATTTTGTGGTGATATTTTTGATGTTCAGTCCTTTCTTTCCAATGATGGCACCAACAAATTGTGTTGGGATCAAGACTCTGAACGATGATTTGTATACAATAAAACAATTTGTATGCAATAAAATAATTTGTATACAAAAAAATAATTTGTATACTATACAATTATACATACAATTAATATGTTTTGTATATGTATATTACTGAGGTTTTGCTTTAGTTAGGTTGTCATAAAGTTGAAAAAATAGAAAAAAAATGTATCAGCAATATAAAATTTAAAACTGAAAAGGAAGTTTCTTAGCCACTACAAGAACTTGAATCACAGTTAAAAAATAGTCACTAGCACTCAAAACATACGAATATTTCATTGAAATAATTTACAAATGGTACCAAAATATGAAATAAAAATATCTGAAGTCAGAAACCTAAGAGGCAAATTGTTGAACTTGGAATTGAAAGCAGTTGTGCTACTTTTGCTTTGAGTTTTACCTAACTTTACTGCACTGTTGTTGTTGACACTGGTTCCATTGTTCATACCAGCAAATTCAACCTACGTAAATATTATTAATATCATTGTTGGCTTTTAATTATGCAAAAACTATTGGATAGTTTCTGTTTTACAGATAAATTACTATATACAATTTATATTACAAAGTGTACATAAATTAATTAAAATAAATGCAAATAAAATACATGGAGTGAAGATCCTCTGAACGTAAAATTTTGTAAGCCTTCATAAGCTCTGAAACAGAATTTAAAAATGGCTAGAAATGAGGATATTTCATGAAAAATAAGAAAGAATTTTTGAACAATACTTTAAAGCTGCAGAATGAGACTCAAATGTTACTTCCAAGCACTGTAAACTTGAATTGTTTGCTGTAGTAGGAATTTTCAAAATTATCCTGTCAGTTCTATAAGAATATTTAACTGAAAATTCTTGATAAAGGAGACATTAATATTCGAAAATTAAAGGAAAATTTCAAAACAGTACCTAATTTTTTCAAGGCGTATGACTTGACGTTGCCATAGTTGTTAATGAGGGACTGAGCGTCATCCTTTGTAATGTTAGTCGGCAAATTTTTTACAACTATTTTATTGCTATTTCTGTAAGAGAAATTAAAAGTTTTACGAAAGACTTTTAGCGTACAATTAATTTTAATTGAGTTCTAACTTCATTTTTGAAGGAATAGTGGAGGGGAGAGGTTGTTCAACACCCATTAGCATTCTATTTTAATTTTAAATAAACTTTAAAATATCTTTTTAAAAGTTTTAGCCCAGACGAGTGCAAAGTTTTAAAGTAAATTAAACTTTGCAAATATTTTTGAACCGGAAAATTAGTGAAATGAAGAAATTTCGAGCAGAAAAACAGAATTTTTCTTGAATAAGTTTAAGTCACCCGCCGTCGTTTTTAACCGGTGTTCTGCCCATTTAAAAAGACTATGAAATGTCGTTTAATAAAATATAAAGCGCATAATATTCACCCAAAATTTGGCCATGTAATAAGTGAAATTTTCAATAAAATAATGATGATAGACCACAAGCATGAAATAGATTGCGATTATTACATGAAACATAGTTTTCTAGATAGTTTATTTTAATACCAGCGTATTAATCGGTTTTTGCATTTGTGTTTCTCAGTATTTTGCTTGTAAATGTCGTCATTACTTGTTTATCGTAAAGAAAACTTAGATGTAAGCAACTTTTTTTTACAAAATTGAATATTTGAGTTAAAATATGTTAAATAATCCGAGAATTTACAACTGCAATAGGTTGATCGGTGAGTGACAGTCAGATAGACGGTGAACGAGAACCATGGCATATGAAATGTATTCAAATACATCTTCCAGACGAAACACAACTGTCTACTTCAATCACTTGTTAGATTTAAAATATCACTTTAAATTTAATAAATCTTCAATAATTTGACAACATGACTAAATATATTAATCGAAATATATATTTATTAAAACAATATTTGGAAATAAAAAATGAAATAAAATAACTTAGATAACAGAACGCTGCTTCAGATTAATTATTCATGAGTTGTCCATTTTTAACGTTTCGTCACTTTTTCATTTTCTAGTTCGTTCACTTCGCATTTGTCAATTTTTGACTTTAAAAATACGAAAAATGAGTTCTTCTATCAAGAATTTTATGGAAAGTTTTCGATTTGGGCATTTGTAAGTTTTGGGAATGTCATTTTTTTTATTCTTGTATCTTTTTACGGGTTTCTTCTAAATTTACGTATGTGTCAGTTTTTTTTAGTTTTGCTTGGGTTTTTTTTATTATGTGATTTCTTTTCAATTCGCCATTTTTTTAATGTTCGTTTCGTCAAGTCATGTTATCAGTTGATGTTGTTGTCGTATGTCACATTAGTGTAATGTCAACTGAGGTTTCGTTAGTTTACTGCTCTGAAAATTTCCATCTTTGTAATTTTATTTGTTAGTAGTTAGTTGAGTATTAATTATGTGTGACATGTTACAGTTACACAACAAGCAAGATATTGTTTTTTATTATTATTCATCATCACATGATGAAAGGAATTATTATATTAATTATGTTATAATTTGTAACAATGCTAAAAGCTAAACAATCTCATTAAATATCAAAATTCAATTCATAATATTCTGTTAATTTACTTACAATACCATCATTTATCCCACTCTAGAGAGAAGCCTGTGAAAGACCATCTGAAAAATGTTTACGGGGCCATGGGGATCTGTTTGTTTGTCTGTGCTTTTGGGGCCTATGTGCACATGTTTACTGACCTATGGGGGGTTAGCATATTGTTAACCATTTTTGTTACTTCTTGTTTCAACTAGATATTTTGAGTCTTGTTCTTACAAAGATGTAGTTTTTCTTTTTAGGCTGGGTTCATCACCAGTCTGGCGACATTGGGATTGCTGTTAGGCCTGATCTCGATGCCTCCAACAGAAAGCAATATGACAACCCGCTTTGCCATGTTAAACGGTATTGCTTTTCTTTCAGGTGTCAGTCTTGGACCTCTCCTCGAGATGGTTGTCAAACTGAATCCACAGTAATTTTGAAAATATTTTTTTGGTTTTCAATAGCTTTAAACTTGAATATGAGTAAATTTTGTAGATGTATATAAATATATTGATGTGTTTTTAAGAACATGGTCATACTATGCTTCTGTTTATAATAATATAACATCTCCCATTTATTTCATTCTTATTATATTTTAAAATTATTTCAGCACTAGAGCGCTTTATAAAAATTAATTTTTATTTCAAAAATGTTAGGATCATAACGACAGCATTCATGGGCACCTCCCTTGTGTTTATCTGTTTCTCTATCAGTGCACTAATCTGCAATGACAGAAGATACCTGGCTCTTGCTGGTATGTTCACCTGTACACATACATACATACCTATACACATACAAACATACATGCTTATGTTTATACAAGGTAGATTTTGCCACACGCAATCAGCCATACACATTTGAATACACTTTTAAAAACAATCATTTGTATGTATGCCAAATGTATATACATCAGAATGTACTGTCATTTAATTTAGTTAATTTTAGCAAATGAGCTTAAATAATGTCAGTTGATTTACAATGATTACAATGAATCTGATAAGGTACTTAACTTTTTGTAGATTAACATTAATTCACATTGTTATCATCTCAACAATTTCTCATCTTAAAGTATGTTAATAATATTGATGATTAAGTTTATTTAGAAAGAAAAAATTGCTAAAAAATGATGAATTGAAAGCTAGAAAAAAGTTGCATTACGCAATACAATTTTATTGTTACAAATTTTTAATGCTATTAGAAGCATACAGTGTATAGTTTTTATTTGATTTCATTTGCATACATGTATGTATTCTTTATATTTTTTTTATAGGAACACTGATGTCTGGTCTGACTGTTATTGTGCTGCTAGGGCTGCTAAACATATTCATTGGATCAGAACTCATTTTCAGGGTTCATTTGTTACTTCATGTGTACTTTTTCTTTACTTTATGTGTACTTTTTCTGTACTTTGTCAGTTTGTGTGTGTGCGCGTGCGCGTGCGTGTGTGCGTGTGTGAGGTTCAATATTTTGCAGATGTTATAAGATAAACAAAGTTCATTGATCACTGCAAATCAAATTTTTTTCAGTAAAATTGCAGAAGCTGTTACAATATGAATTTTTAAATATTGAAGTTGTGAAATTAATGAAAGAATAATGAATTTTGGAGTATTTTAATCAAAGTTTCATTTTGTTGTCAGAAAGATATTATAGACACCAATGTAATTTATGTTTGTTTCTTTCTATTCATATTAAGCAATTATTACGGTGACTGAATGCCACCTATCGCATGCATCGTACGCGTGTGTGATGCATTGATTCACGTGAATTCACACGCATTTTACGTATGTGTGACGCATTGATTCACATGTGTGATATGACCTCTGAAAAATGCTAGGGAGAGAATTATAAAAAAAATGTTCATCCCTTACAGATTGAAATCTACTTGGGGCTAGCAATAATGTGTGGATTCGTGCTGTTTGACACTCAGATGATCGTTGAGAAGTGCAGACAGGGAGATTTTGATTATGTTCAGTTAGTTTTTTTTTCAGTTTTTTCTTCGTTTTTCTGGTTTCTGTTTTCAAGTTTTTAGTTTATTACTAATATTGTTATGCTTAGAAAGTTGTTTCATAATGCATTACCACATCCGAGTTACAATTAACTCGTCACATCACGTCACCATAATTTGACCGCTGCAGTCACTGCCTTGACTTGTTCCTGGACTTTGTGAACATCTTCCGTTACCTGTTGATCATTCTGTCAAACAAGGAGGCCAACAACAACAGGAGACGTCGCAGAAGTGATGACTGAACGATCAGATGATGAGGGGATGGTGGTGAAGAAGTGATGGTGCCAACCGAAGGAATGAAGAAAATGAATGAGTTGAATGAATGAATGAACTGATTGATTGATTGAATAAATGGATGATAGATTGAATGGACAAACCAATGTTTATTTTTATGATTCGAAAACATTGTTCGAATGTTGACTACGTTGTGTATAACGATAAATAACGTTACATGTTTCTTGTGGAAAGAGTTTTCATGCATGTATAATTATAATATCACACAAGTTAACAACTCCCAAACAATCTTTTTTTATCAATTGGAAATAATTTTAATTTGTTTCTCTTTATTAATTTTTTCTTGATTTTATGTTCAATATAACCTGCTTTTTGATTAAATCTCATTAACAAACCAATTAAAAGGTAAAGGTATTCGTTATTCATGATACTCATTGATACCATGGATATATCCATGATTGATACGTACCTATTTAAATAACATTTCAATTGTAATACGAGTGAGAAAACGCAAGCTATTAATTCGTCAAATAAACCATAAAAAGAACACGTGTACATATTGAATAACACTGGGGAACACTCGATACCGTCATGCGTTTATGTTAAAATATATCGCGCGTCGAATGAAATGTCGAATTAAATGTTTCACACGATGTATTTTTCAACTACTAATTCTTTTCCGCTATGAAGTGTTTGGCACACAGGCAAGCAATAACGCATACAGATCACTATAACATATATATTAACATAGTTGTTCTATTTAACTTTTATATTTTATTGGTGGCTTGTATGTAACGGTGACGTGTCTGAAGGCTGTAAGAACCAAATGTAGATGTTCCATTAACTATATTATTTTATCCGTAAAACTGTTTAGTTTCCAAAAGAATTGAAAACTGAAAGCGAAGTTAACACCAGTCTGAATTGTGCGTACGGGTATTAAGTTTCATAATGATAATTGGTTTTTTATATATATATTAAATATATATGTATATATACACACTTTCATAAGCTCCAAATTTATACGTCCGTGTTTATATTATACATGTATATTATGCGTTCAATCAGTTAAGCTTTAAATTCATCAAACGACAATAAAGGATTCAAAGCCCCCAATGCACACAAAGATCTTGTAATCTGTAAGAGGTAATTTTATGAAAAGTGGCTCTTGGAGAATCAATAATTAGAAATTACGTTATAAAAATAATTTCATTTTCAATCAAATTACAAAATTATATATATATATATATATATATCGAATAACGACAAAACAATGAATAAAATAGATACCAGTAAATTCATCATTCGGACAACTGACCGCTTGACCAACGTAATTTTATAGACATGCAGAGAGAGAGAGAGAGAGAGAGAGAGAGAGAGAGAGAGAGAGAGAGAGAGAGAATGAAAGATAAGAGGAGAGAAGAGATACAAAAGTTACCTTTAACATAACTATCAATCATCTCAGTAATCATCCCCTCTAGAAATGACTTCTTTACAAGTGGGCCTCAAAAGGATGGTGTGCTCAAACTGGGCCGTATAACAACCCTTGATGTCACACAGTGGAGGGTAGGGGTCCACTATTCCAAGGTCACACAGATTCTTGAGGGCCATGAGGTACTTTGACTGGTCCAACCTATCTAGCCATCTACGACAGAATGCCAGAGTACTAAAATTTCGATCAATTACCCCAAGCAATTGCTTAGACCTGTATCATGTGACAAATTATTATTATAGCCATATATTTTTTATGAACTTTTTCCCAAAATATAACAAAAGTTTTATTTTTATGCAGCCAAACTAAATATGATCAAACTACGAAATCAAATGAAACTACAAAAATAACTAACTTAGCCATACGGATGGGTACATGACCGATGTCAAAATTCTTCATGTAGTGAGAGGTCTCCATGTCATCGTGCACCACGCCTCTCCCCGTACTACCAAAAGTCTCAATTGCAAAAAACTCGCCCTCCTCCATGCGGGTTGTTTCACCTCCTTTCACAATGGGTACAGTTTTGCCCCCGTGAACTCTGTAGATGCCGACTGAGTGGCCATTCAGGTTGCGGATACTTTTGATTGGGAAGACCTTGCCATCCAGCTCCAACTGTTGATGCAGTTTGTATAAGATAAAATGTCTCCTTGTCGTTACCATTAAAAATCATTCTAGAATCAATCATTTTCACAGAATATAAATTAAAAGCTACCCAAACCAAATTACAAAAATGCACAAACCAGAGACAAAAATATTTGGATAGAGAAAGAAAATGGAATTTCACAAAAATAAATCACCACCACCAACTTCATAAGATTCCATTGTTTCTTGGATGGCCTCTCCGACATCACACAGTCGAGCATCAATTCCTGATTCCCTAATTCCTGTGTTCGTGGCTGCCTCTACTGCTTTCAACAGGTTATCGAATCTATAAAGAAGAAACTCAATTTGATGAACTTGACTGCATTACAGGTTAAAAATTGGAAAAACATAAGCCAACATTCTTGTGACAAAATACAAAAAACTAATCTGACAATTACAACGATTATAATGACTGAAAGATGAGGGGGGTATACACAAGAAGAAACATTGATTAGACATTGCTTCAAATAAGAAGTTACAACGATAAGACCATGGTTATTATATCATTATTATTCAAACAATCACAATTGAGTGCAACAAAGGATACAAATAGGATTTACACAAAAAACCTTCTGAACAAAAAAATGTATAGCTACTTTGGATTGCAAGCCACAGTGAAAGCACAATCCACAATCCTGCCACGTATGTGGGTACCAAAATCAACCTTCATGACGTCATCATAGGAAAGCACGGTGTCATCACCATTGTTTGGGGTGTAGTGGGCAGCGCAGTGGTTCAGGGACACACCGGTTGGAAATGCCAGGCCTGCTTCTAAACCATTCTCTTCTGCAATGTAATTAATTACACTTTTTAAATAAGAAATTACTCCAAACAAGTCATTGTAAAACAAGACTAGGTGCTTTAAACAAGCCACATTAAAAATAGACAATGATAATGTAATATACTAAGAAACTTACTAATCAACTTTCTTGCAGTATTCTCGAGAGTTTCACAAAGGTCAATCAACTTGACCCCAGGTCTGATGATGTGATCTCTGACATACTTTCTTGTCTGCCTGTGCACTTCTGCAGCTATCCTTATCTCTTTATACATGTCCTCGTGTACTCTCTCCCTGCTACGTGCCTCCTCAGACGTGTACCTTTGAGTGATCAGATGTTTGAAATTTATTTTTTCAGAATTTTAAAAGTTTAACAGGAAAAATTACAAACTATATTCAATATTGTTCTTGCAAACAAGTCATTTGCACCAACCTATCTTTAGCCATTGAGTCGTCTGCTGGCAATTTGTAGGCTAATATTTCTCCTTCAGGACCACCATTAGGAAAGAGGTCTGCAATCGGAATTGTTGGAGGTACAGTTTGCACTCTGGTAGCTACTTTGTTGGCCGCACCTCCAGCTTTTTTCTTTCTGTTTTTCTTTTTCTTAGTTGTTGTGCTGGTTTCTGTTGTGGCAGTTTCAGCAACTTCATCTTCTTCCTGATCATCACAACCACCATTTTCGACAGCTGGATCAAGCAGTTTTATTTCACCATCTTTTTTTGCCCTAGTCTTTTCGCAAGTTTCATTTATGACAGTTAAATTTCCATCACCATTTGCATTTGCCATTACTTGTCCATCCCTAGTTAATGAAAAATTAAATCAAAAAAGTTTAATCAAAAATAAAATTATAATCACACACATCACTATATTAGACATTAGATTAGCATTAGATTAGATAAAATTAGAGATTGATTATTAAATGAATTTGCTACATTGTTTATAAATAATTTATATGCTTTTTTGTTTTACAACTTTTATAATTTAAATAAAAATAATCAAAATGAAATTGAGTCAGCAAAGTAATGTTATAAAAATATCATTAACTATTAACGTAATTAGAAACTATTTATTATAAACTTTTTTAATTTCGATAAAAATGACAAAATTTTGAAGCATGCAAAAGAGCAAGCAAGCAAGGGAAAAGGGAATAAAATGGCATCGCAAAAGAAAAAAATTTACAAATTATCTTTCTTCTTCTTCTTTTTTTTCTTCTTTTTGCTTTGTTGAGTTGCCTGTGTTGCATTATCTTCCACCAAATCTTCCTCCTCCAACTCGTTCACGTCGGCCATTGCTGAAACGGTCGAGTCTAAAAAAAGAGAATCGTTTTTCGATAAAATCGCTAAAAGTAAACTAAATATAATAAAAAACTTTAAGCGCTGTACTTTTATAAAATCAATTACGCAGTCATGATCTCTATATAACCTATCCACCCCAGCATGGAATATAGTTTCGCACGAATTTCCTAATTCCATAGATATTTTTTATCTATGCTTAATTTTAATTAAAGTTGTTTTAGTTAATAATTTTGCCATTTTTATCGCGATGCAACTTGTAACGCGGCGAATGCGATGCGGTTTTGCCAATATATTGATAAAAGCACGCTTGTCTTCGAAGCCGGTAACTTAGTGATGAATCATTAATATTAGAACATGAATCATGGCGATAACTTGTTAAACGATTACTTTCAAAATTTATTTTTTCTAAACTTAATTTAAATGTTCCAGGTTTGTGCGGACATATGACAAATGTAAAATTAAAAAAAATAAAGATTTTTAAAGATCTAAAAGAAAATGATCTAAATGTAAAAGAACTTGATTTGTGATGTAAAAAAAACATGCGTCGGCATATGTTGGTCAGGCTACAACTCGCTGGCTATTCACGGGTGCGATCCCACTACTGGCCGACACGGGGACTTTTGCCTGCTGTGTTTCCACCCTGGGCCGGTTCGTCCCTCCTTAGACAACCTGGCAACTCGGAGCTCCCTCCGGGCCGCCATATTGATGCCGGACTTAGTGCGGACACCCGATCGACATAGATCAACGGGCCGCAGAACCCCCGACCTCAAAACCTCCAACACGCTAAGCCTCCAATAGCTGGATTACAGGAGCACGCTACAACTCCCAGCAATATAATGCCGTTTAAAACTTCATACCCATCAAAAAGTAATTTTAATATGTTCGTGTTCTCCTTCAAACTACATCAATTTATTTGGAGATATTAAATTTATTTTATGCGTAATTTCTAGAATTTTTACAATTCATTTCCACTTCAAACTGACGAAAATGTTAACATTGAATAAACTTTAAAAGCATTCAATAGGTGCGCGCCAAGATTTGCATTCCAAGGTCTGCCGTTTAAAATCTATCGCATAACGCCTGCCAACTGCCTCCTCATATTTCAACAACGCCACTTTTTTGTAGTTTAAACTCCATAATTGAATTAATGGCTCTTTAATTTAGCTGGTATAAATGTAAGCAAAATTGAAGCAATTATATAATTGTATTATATTCGATTGGTGTAAGACCATGTTTTATAAATAGCCAATCTGGTTCTCCGCAAGCTAATGCTAAAGTGCGTAAACTTAGGTAAATATATTATGTCGGACATAGATAAAGATGCAATATAGATACATAGAGATACACTATAGATACATATAGTGATACAGATACAATAGATACATATAGAAATAAACACCTTCGAATGATAGTAATACAGATACAATAGAGATACATACAGAAATAAACATCTTCGAATGAATGCATGTATAAAACAAATGCACTTGCATTATTCATCAACTTCGCAGCACTTAATGTACGCTTCTGATTGATTTGTTTAATTTTGCAAAAAAAAAAACTGACTGACTGAACTTTTAAAATGCTAATAAACCTTTTTTTGGCATATTTCTTTCTTTTCCAACCTAGCCTGACTAACAATTTCTTGTTAATCATTAAACTTTCTATTTCATCGGCCATAGCCTTGAGTTTATTCTTTAACGTTTTAATTATGAAAAATCAAAGAGGTTCAAATTAAATATAATTTCTTAATTATAAAATCTTAAAACTGTCAAAAATATTCCGCCTAATAAGTCCAAAATTCAATAAAAATAAATCTGAAAACAAAAAAATTGACAAAAACAAGAACAGCGAAAGAGAAACGTGAAGCAAACAAAACTTAAGTATTCAATTCATTCTTGATGAGTTGATACATGTGGTTGGCTTTGGTCTCCCCAGATCCAGGAAGCTTAATCAATTTCATTTGAATGTGTGCAATAAAAAACAATTAAGAAACTGTTTAAAAATGGTTAAATTCTTAGAAATGTTCACCCAAACTTAATTTTCGTCCCATTTTCAGCCAAAATTTCTTATAGGTTAGAAATTAAGAATTTTGCTTCAGCACTTAAATTTGATATTGCCATTCTCACATCTTACCCACTAAAAATAAAAATTCTTAATCATTGAAAACATTCTACTAGGAAACTTTGGTCTAAATTTTGTGTGTTTGCCTCAGGATTTATCATGATTAAACTCTAACTAAAAAAAACTCTAATAGAATATTTTACTAACAGCTATAAAAATAACTCGTGATTCATAGAGTGAAAATCATGATGAGGAAGATAGATAAATGAATATAACCTAAAGTCAAAAAAAATGTAATAAAAATAGTCAGATGAACCGTACATCTTTAATAGCATCCAGTAGACTTAGCATGGCCACTTTGTGTTCATTCTGTTTCATTATGAGACTGTTCAGCGCACCCTCCAGTTGGTCTTGCAATTCTTCGAATTGTTTCTCAAGGACGCCAATCTTTTCGTGGCTGTAGTTTGTCTGTTTAGTTTGTTTGTTCGTTCGTTTGTTTGTTCGTTCATTTGTTTGTTTGTTCGTCGGTTTATTGGTATATGTACTCATTTATGTGTTTACTTGTTTTTCGTGCCTGCACAACATGACTGGATTTATGTCGAAGCGTATCACGTGTAACAGTATCAGAGAAATTAATTAGACACATATATGGTGACGAATGAATTGACAATCTATGGACGAGAAGGTTCAACTAAATTCTCATAAGGAGCGGTCTCATGGTGATCGCTTGCTTGACTAATACTGTACTACGATAATATCAAATTTATAGAACCTACGTTTCACTATTACGCAAAGAAAAAGAAAGTAACTAAAATTTTTCACCTTAAGGATAGAATGTAAATAGATTTTACGTAAATTTCAGCTGGCACACGCACACACACTCGCACACACACACACACACAAACCTGGACATAATTTTCAAGTTCAAATGTCAAGGTCATTAGCTGGTGGTTGTCGAGGACAGAATCTAATTTGACGTTCTGACGGGTGTGGGAGCTGATGACGAAATCAATGGCCTCATCTGGGTAGCCTTGGCTTAGAAATTAATTAATTAATTAATTAATTATAATAATCGATCATTATTTAACCATATTAATTAATTAATTAATTAATTATTATAAAATATATTTATTGCAATAATAAAACATCAATAATAATTTATTGCAATAATAAAACATCAATAATAATTTCAGGCTAATAATAACAATAATAATAACAATAATAATAATAGTAATAGTAAATAGGAATAGTAATAATCATAACTGACTTGATCATATCGTTAACCCATTGGGACAAGGGCTTTTTGCCTGTGGATTTTTGCTTTTTGCCACATTTCTGTAAATTAAACGAAGAAATTACCAAATAATTAATAAAAAAAATTATTATGATTATAAATTATCATTAATGGAAATTTTTGTAAAACATAAAATTATACAGAATCGTATAATTTTTTACTTAAATTTAATTTTTAGATGAATCAGATAGAAAAATTTTTTTTTTTTATAAATTTTGCGAATCTAAAATTTTTTTCATAAATTTTAGGGAATCTGAAACTTTCAGGATAAATTTAGAGAAGAAATAGACAAATTTTTAGTAAAAGTATGTAGTAAAAATCACAGATACATAGTAAGAATCCTAACAAACAAACAAACCCTTTTGATATAGTCCACGGGGTATATTTCAAATTTCTTCTTTTCAACATAAGCCTTAACTCTGGAGAAAGACTCAAAAATAATAGCCAGGAAAACGTTGATGAGTATGAAGTAGACTGTGACGATGTAGATGATGAGGTAAGCTGCTCCAATTATGCTGTGCTTGTCGTCTATGTACTCGAAGTCTATGTCCCCAAGTAGGATACGGAAGAGGGCCACTCTAGGTCGTCGTGTTTTTGTTGTCAGTGTGTCATTTTATTTTTAAAAGTAGCAATAGTTTTTGTCTAGCTGTGCTATCCTGCCTTGTTTTTTGTCCAGATAGCTCTAACTTTGATGTAGGTCAAATAGCCAAATTTAAGTTGCAGTTGAGTACGATTGAAAAATTCTCTCAATTGATCTCAGGATAAAAAATTACAAAAAAAAACAACCAACAAACCACAAAACTATATTCACGATCATAAGGACCTAAGTATCTAATGAAAACATCTTTCATTACACTGTAGAAGCGTGAACACGCCATGAAATGCAACAACGCACGCAAGTGCAGAGTAGAGAACTAACTAACATGGAGTATCCGAGAGAGGAGAAGATGGCCACCTGATAGCCGAACAACAACATTCCCAGCAGCCCGAATGACAGGATGACGAAGAAGAAGAGGATGGAGTAACCGAGGAGATCCTTGCTACTGGAGTAGAGAGTCTCACTAAGTTTCGTCATCGTTTCATTCAAACTCAGGTACTTAAACATCTGTTAGTTGATCCAGCATTCAGCTACACATGAGCTAGTATACATCAGACATACACCCATGAAACAAACGACAACGAAAATGAAATTACTTTCAAGAAGATACAGAAAACGAGGAAGGCGAGAATCCCATCCATGAACTGCTGCACATAACCCATGTAGAGGATGTTGGAAGCGTAATCCTGCAGCTCGAGACTCTCGTCATCCAAGTTTTTGTTGGACATGTAGGAGTAGGTGACTGTCATGGAGAGGAGGAGGCCACAGGTTATGATGGAGACGTCCAGGTACGTCGAGAATAAGGTGTAGTACTCGTTTCTCAGAATCAGCATCTGAGTGGAGAAGAGTTTTGCACTTTTGAGAGCAGTATCTTTGTAATCATTTACGTGTGAAATATGTTTCTTCAACATGTACAAACACAGAATAACGCGCCAGACGCTCAATATAGAATATTATAGCAACGGAATCTCACATGAACGAACAAACGAACGACGCAAACAAATAAACAAGCTAACAAACAACTAGATAGATAAATACAAAAAATCAACATTATGTTGCGAACCGATCAAATTATTAATCAAAATAATACACATCAAAATTGCCTCAAGTATTTCTTCCAGTAAGTAAAAAACGATGAATCCAAAAAAGACAAGAGACAGAGTGATGATGATTCCATCCTGATAATGTATCAGCCTGACGGTTCGAATGTTGTATGACGTGAAGACTCCTCCAGTCATGGAAAACTCGCCCGCTAAACTGTACAGTGTCACACAATGTATCAATCGTCTATCCATTCATTCATTGTTCTATCTATCCATTCATTCATCCATCTATCCATTCATTCATTGTTCTATCCATTAATTCACCCATCTAACTATTTATTTATTCATTGCTCTATCTATCCATTCAATCATTCATTCATACATCAATCCATTCACCCATTCATTCATCTATCAATTCATTCGTTGTTCCATCTATCCATTCATTTATTCATCCATCCATTCATCCACTAATTCATCACTAACGTAACAGCGGCGATGGTGGCGGTACTTGGATTGAGTAGGAAGAAATCAAAGAAGACGGCCCTTGTGGATCTGTCGATCCAGTTTTCGGAGCGCAACTCCTGCAAATTCGACGCCGTCCTCACCTTCATGTTCGAAAGTTTTGCGTAGTAGCCGGAAGCCTGGTGGTTGGTTGGTTGGGCGGTTTCTCCATCACCACCACATGATTACATGCTAAGACTTAAGGCCAATGCACATGATATCAACACACACACACATATACACACACAACACACACACACACGCACACACATCAAGATTGGTGGTTATGAATTTAAGGAGCGTCTTAAACACAATTTTTTCAATTTCGAGACATTACTACTGAGGATTGCAAAACAAAACAATACAATACACACATACATACATAAGACAGACACACACACACATACAAACACTCACACACCGCACGTACACACGCACGCACACAAACACACACATACACAAATATGAATGTAAAGTTACAGTTACAAAAATAAATCTTAACATACAGCAACAAGCAGCAAAGTAATTCACAAAGCAGCAACAATAATTACTAAGCTATAATGGCGAAGTTTAAATGCTTTTCATTTATTTAATTTCAATCAGGGCAAAAAACAACAACAATAATAATAATAATGGTGATGATGATTATCACTTTATATGACGTGAGTGTCCCATAGTAAGTTACTGTGGAGACTTTATTTTTCTTCAAAAATTTACTCGAGCTGCCAGATGGGAAAAAAAAAATTTTCACATTTTTTAAGACTGAAAAAAATTGAACGAAGTCAACCTGATAGATAAATATATTTGTAGAAATTGTTCATTAGCAAATTAATTATAGTATAGAAGTATTTCTAAAAACTTGCTTTCCGGTTCGTATACTGAGATCAGAAACTTCCTCATTGGCTTCGGTGAAAGCGCCGTAGCACTCGTTTATCTTCGTCTTGATGTTGCTGGGGATGGAGCAAGTGCCATTCCTAACTTTCTTCTGCCTAATTTGGGGCTCTCCGATCAGCAGATTTTGATCCAGCACCCAGTTTGTTTGGTTCGTTTGGTCGATGTATAAATTCTTCAAGAGGTTGCCTTCTAGATACTTGTAAGGTGGAAAGTATAAAAATTAATACAATACAAAAATAAACTAAAAAAATGAATGTATAGTTTCTATTTCCTATCAACTATATAAACAACTCAATGGCAGTAGCATTATTCAATTAAACATTTTGAGAATAAATTTAACAAAAAACTAACTAAATAAAAAAAATGATTGATAAATTGTTTGATAATTAATAATTAATTAATTAATCAGTAGTCATCAGTTAAGAAGAACAAACTTTAAATTTAAATACAAACCCCCCAAAACTGGTCCCGCGTGGCAATATCGACGAAGGTGATCGACTCTTTGTCGGCTATTGGAGACCGAAAGAATGTGTTTTTGATGGCATGACATAGGAAGAAACCATTTATTGTCCTCAAGCTCATCATAACTAAATTGTTGGTGGTGGTGGGCTATTAGTTATAACAAATAATTACCAAGCGGTTTGAAATTTTTTACATAAAAATACTTAAAAACCAAACATGTTTTTTTTTCATAAGTTTTTAACATTCCTCAACTATATTACCATCATAATTAAAATATTTAGAAAAATTATTAAAAATTTGATTTTTAAAAATGAAAAAAAACAACAAATTACTAATTTACTAACACAAAACTGTGGAGACGGCAAAGACGATGAATATCAAAAACTCCAGTAGAGATGTCTTTAGTAAGGCTTCCCTGTTGAAATTTGTCACAAGTTGTATGTCCCTTGTAGACCAGATTCTTACTAGGATAATTTAATTTTCATTTGATTTTACAACTCTCTCTTAACTATAGCTCAAAGTAATCAGCACGCACACATTCACACACACACGCACACGCACATACATACACGCACAGTGCATGTGAATACACGTAAATCCATGCACCTCATGTATTGCAAGTGATAGGAAAAATTTCCTTTGAAATCAAACCATCACTTTTTACTATTTCAAAATAACAATTTAGAATTATATTATCACATGATTAATCAATTAATTATTTTATTTAATTACTTAAATAATTAAATTTCTAAATAATCAATTAATTACAATACATAAATGATGAATTTTGAAATTTAAACAAATATAATGTGACCTCAATAACAATAACTAACACAGAGAGAATCCTTTTTTATCAACCAGAATTTCATCTAGGTGGAATTAAAATTAAAATATATTATATTTAATATTTATATTATATATTTAATAGAAAGTATATTATAGAAAAAAAAACCTTTGGCAGCCCCACCCTCTCCTTCCTCGTCATCTGAATCCTCATCTTCTTTCCTTCCTCTATTAATAATTAATTAAATTATTTGGTTTAAAAAAATTTAATAACTTTTTAAAAATCTGTTCTTCAAACTGTCATTCATTTTAAAATGTAAATAATTTAATGTTAATTTGTTTCATTCATTCAAGTCAAGTTTGTCTACACTACATACTTTTTCTAATCAATTTTCTCTAAAAAATTTACTGGAATATATAATAAATATTATAAAATATAAAGAGATGTAATGTCATTTCAGTCTAATAAATGCAAATATAATAAATAAGTACTCAAGTTTTAAGGAGTTTAGTAACTTAGTAAAATAGTAGTAACTTTACTTTACAATTACATTATTAGTAATTAATTATGTTTTTATACATATTTCATATATTTATATATGTTTTTATTTTTATTATATTATTATTAAAAATTAATTATTATTTTGATCACAAAATTTTCAAACTGAAATATTCAAATCGAAATAATTTTAACTTAAGTGAAAAATAAATAAAACAATCAAAAAACTAACTTGCCCATGTTTCAAAATAATTAAATTAAATTAAATTAAACCAACACTTAATTTTTTTGAAAAATATTGACGTCGGCTCCAACAAAGTAAAAGCGAACTGCCATAACGATTAAAACGGTTTTCGTTTAAAAGTTAACGAAATAATTAATAAAAAGCTAATTCTATAAAACTCAATAGTCATATTATTAAAATTTAACTAATTTATAATAATACTGTCAAACTATAAAATAATTTTTTGTAAACTATTCAGGAGATTTCTTTCCATCTACCCATCTTATTGGCAAAATATAGTTGCTAGTTTGACATTTTACAATTGAAAATTCCAATTCTTTACTAAATATAAAATGAATTTAATTGAAGAACGTTTAGAATACGTAAAAAAGACAGTTTAAAATATTATTTTTTTAAAAAGATAAAATAAGTTTCTCCCCTAATACAAGACAGAAAACCATTAAATGTAAAAATATATAGCACAGAAACATCTATAATCAACTGTTCCTATTATAAGTCTGTGATAAAGCAAAATGTACATATACGTTGTAAAGGTTGACAAATTTTCTAACATCATCAGAGGTATTATCAAAATTGCTTCAAAATTACACGGAGTTTGTTTTGTTCGGGACAAATTGATGAAAATGGCGTCAAGTTTTTTTTCTGTTTTGTTTGTTCATGAGGAATTTTCTACATTATGCAGGGAATTGAATTGTTTTGAGTGTTTGACTTATTAGGTAGGGGCTCTTTTTGGCCACCAGCGAACTATTGCGTAACAATTGAAATATAACTACTAACAAGAATTTTAAAATCGTATTTATGTAATGTTAATTACTTTTATCTTTAAAAACTCCTATTTTATATACATACAATGTCTAATGACTAAGACTAATATGATTATATATGGCTAGTATGTCTAGTGCTAAAAACTTCAATTAGTACTATTACTGCAGTGGCCACAGCTACGACTACTACTTGTAGTAGAACTGCTACTGATGTTACTACACCTACTACTTCTAATACTCCTACTGCTGATGTTGTTGCTGTTGCTGCTGCTACTACTACTATTCTCTTACTAGTACATTAGTTAGCAAATAATAACAAAAACTTTAGTTCGGTACTAAATAGATATTAATGCTAATTTAGATACTACCTTTTAATACTTAATCGAATTAAAATTCTTTCGCCAGCAGATATGAGCGTACAATGACGTCATTGTTTGACGTCATTTTTAAATTTACTCTTTTTTTTGTTGAAAAATCTGATCTCAGAATTATGGAACGATCGGAATGCTTGCGAGATTGGCTGAGAGATAAGATAAACAACACATTTAAACATATCCAAACATATTTAAACACTAACAAAATGAAAACCAATAAAGACTGCATTGAATATAGAGGAATGAATGAATGAATGAATGAATGAATGAATGAATGAACGAACGAACGAACGAACGAACGAACGAATGAATGAATGAATGAACGAGTATAAAAATGTATAAAGGGATAGATAGTTGAGTGGATGAATAAATAAACGAATGAATGTACAAATGGATGAATGGAAATTGGATGGATTGGCTAAACAGATGTAATTTTGTCGCCTTATTTATACTTATTATTATATTATTATTATTATACACACACGTCACACTCATACACACACATACATACACGCAAACACACACAGAAACTCACACGCACATGTTAATGTATGTGGGCGTATGTGTTTATGTACATCATTCTTTCTTTGTGTATGTTTGTTTATTATTAAAATGTTCTTATTCACTCTGGGTGTAGTGTTATTCATTCAAACTTCACAAATAACTTGGTGTACGTGTATATTTGTATGCATGTCTGTATGCATGTGTGTGTGTGTGTGTATTCTATATATGTATGTGTGTATGCATCTTTTTATCTCTATTCATTCATTGATTCATTTATTCGTTCCATCATTTATTCATCCATTCATTTGTTAATATATCTATCCATTTATCTAATCATCCATCCATTCAATCGTCCATCCATCTATCTATTCATTCATCTATCCTTCCATCCATCCATGTAACCTTCATTCCTCCAGACTATCATGAACCTAGATAAAAATCTGTTTTCATAATAGTATGGGTAGGAGCTAAAAATATAAACGCCTTACATTTACATAATATATATATATATATATATATATAAATATAAACAATACACTGTATATATATATATATATATATATATGTATATATATACTGTATATATATATATGCCATGCTAAAATATGTAATGCACTTAGTTTAATTCAACCAGCAAATTATATATCCAATCTTTCATTCACTCTTCCACTCATCTATCCGACTATCTTCTAATTCATCCACTCATTAACCCATCCATCCGTCCATCTATTTACTCATTCATTGTCCATCTATCTCTCTCTCTCTCTCTCTCTCTATATATATATATATATATATATATATATATGTGTGTGTGTGTGTGTATATATATATATACATATAATTGTTGTATTATAATAACTTAAGTATAAAAAGCAGTATATAAAGTTTTATAAGCGGTCTGCTGCTGCAAACTAGGAAAAGTGGATTGGTTGAAAAAGATGCATGTATGTATATGTGTCTGTCTGTATGTTTGTGTGGATGTATTTATGTATGTATGTGTATGTAGGTATGTGTGTGTGTGTGTGTGTGTGTGTGTGTGTGTGTATGTATGTAGGTATGTGTGTGTGTGTGTATGTACGTAGGTATGTGTGTGTGTGTGTATGTATGTATGTATGTGTGTATGTATGTATGTATGTGTGTATGTATGTATGTATGTGTGTATGTATATGTATGTATATGTGTTAGAGAGAGAGAGAGAGAGAAAAAGAGAAAGAGAGAGAGAGAGAGAGAGAGAGAGTTTTGTGTACGTTTTTTAGTTTGTATAGTAATTTTTTGAACTTTTAAACTTTTGGCATGTGTTTTGGTGTTTGTGTATACATGTAATTCAAGCATACATTCAAATAGTATGTGTGTGTGTGTGTGTGCGTGTGCGTGCGTGTGTGGCGTCACAAACTGAAAGTTTTACAAGGTCTGTTTACCAAATTTTTTACCAAATTTAAATACCGGATGGAGCGTGGCATGAAGAAATGTTAAACCCTGACACACACGCACACACACACACACACACACACACACACACGTACACGTACACACACACACACACACACATGCATGTTTCTATTAATATATCACACAAATTATATTCTGTTTATGTATAACATTTTATATAATAGAAGAAGGAATAAAATTAAAATAAAACATTTATATTATTTATTTTACCGAATTTAAATTTAATATTGAGTGTTTTCGAATACAAATAATATTAATAATAATAATTATTATTATTAATAATTTATTATTAATTATTATTAATAATTTTTTCCATATTTTTTAAACTTTATTTTTTCCTCGTCATCAGATCGGCCATAATATTTTTTCATCCGATTCTCCAAAGAGAGCCTTTTAAAAAATTTTCCAAAAAAATTTATTAAAAAATATCTAAATAAAAAATGAAAAGAAAGAAAGAGATTAATTTGAGAATTAAATATATAAATTATTTTGAGTAAAATAAAAAACCATTCGAATTTTTTATCAATTTAAAGAAAAATAAAACTTAAGATTATTTATTATTGTGTGTGCGTGTATGTATGTGTGGTGTGTGTGTGTGTGTGGTGTGTGTGTGTAATATGTACATATTTTGTTGTACATTATACAATATGTATGCATGCTTATATATGTATTTTTATACATACGCACGCATACATTAGTTAAAGCCAGCATCATTTTGGGATCTGTCTTCTAAACCGAAGTTGGTTTTAGATAGATAGATAGAAATTCTCTCAGTTTTGTTCTTGTTCTCGCCGTAGTTACTGCTGCTGATTCTATAGTTTTGGTTAGTTGATTGATTGATTGGTTGGTTGGCTGGTTGGTTGATTAGTTGGTTGACTGGTTGGTTGGTTGATTGATTGGTTGATTGGTTGGTTGGTTGACTGGTTGATTAGTTAGTTGGTTGGTTGATTGGTTGGTTGATTGGCTGGTTAGTCGGTTGGTTAGTTGGTTCTTAGGTTCAATATTTTTGTTTTCTGATGACTGTTCAGTTTGTTAATTAACTGTGTGATTGGTTTGAAGATTTGTTAGCTGATTATTTTTTATCAACTGATTGATTGGCTGGTTGATTGATTGGCTGTTTGAATTGCTGATTAAAAAATATATTTTTTAATTTGTTGATCATTTCGTTGGCGAGTTCTCAGCAAATCATTTGACACGCCATCTGTATATTAGATAGACTAAATTAAATTAAATTAATACACGTCTTATGATTCTCGATTCTTAACAATTTCATATAAAAAATATATAATCAGATTTCTATTTATTTACTTGTTCTTACTTGAAAATTCCAGGCTTGGAAAAAATTTCAGTTAAACTTATTTTGCAAAATTAAAAAGATTTCAACATATTTTTTTGCTATCAAATAATAACATATTAATGGTAGAATAATTACAGATAATTAATTGATTACGACATAATAAATCATCAAACTTCTGTTAATATAATACAGTTAATAATTATAGCCTAGTGGTTAAGGTCGCCTGATTTTGTTTCGCAGTTACCGGGTTCGAATGCGACAAAATGATACACGCTTATCACATGCTTCGTGTGTTGTGTACGTAGTTTATTATGTAATGGTATGCGCTGCTGTTTGTATGCTGTTCATCAATCGGAACTTTGAAAGAATGTAAGAGTTCATCTACTTTTATTATAATATAATATTATTTAATATAATATTATTTAATTTAATATGACTGATATAATTAATTATATCTATACGGAGAGTTTTTTAATTAAAAAAATATTATTTGTAAATTACTGATGAATGAACTTGGCTTGGAGATAATTTGTGGAGAATTATTAATTGGCATTGAAATTTAAAAAAAAATTTGTTAAAAAGCATTTATGTTTATGAATTTAATCGATAAGATTCTATTTTAAAGTCCGTTTTATCTCTCTCTCTCTCTCTCTCTCTCTTTTTTCTTTCTCTCACCATCTATTCATTCATTCATTCATTCATTTTTCCTCATCCAGCTTCGTTTAGTCACTCAGCATGATATTAGGGAAACATCAAAAGGTTACAATAGCATTAAGCCTATTCCAAAACACTCTACACTATTTACATCATCATCATCATCGTCGTCATCTTCATCATCATCGTCCTCATCATCATCTTCACTATCGTCATCATCATCTTCACTATCGTCATCATCATCCTCATCATCATCCTCATCATTATCATCATCGCTAGAAACATCAATAGAAATTATAGTTATTGGACAACAACAACAAAAACAGCATGTTATTATTATTATTTATCAACATCATTATCTATGTTACTCAATTTTGTGTAACCAGCGATAACCAATTAATACACTGAAAAACAACCCAAACATTGTGTGTGTGTGTGTGTGTGTGTGTGTGTGTGTGTGTGTGTGTGTGTGTGTACGTGTGTGTACGTGTGTGTCTATGTATACAACCAACATGTGTGTGTGGACGTGTGTGTGTGGACGTGTGTGTGCGTCCGTGTGTGTGTGGACGTGTGCGTGAGTGTTTGTTTGTGGTGATTGAATGTCTATAAATTGATCGAGTCTGAACCCATCAAATATTTAATCGAATCGAAAAATTGACGACAAATTTTTCTGCAAACAGTTAGGCGCTATATTTAAGGGATTATAATTTTTGAGACACTCCAAAAATCTAGAAAACTGTCAATGTATCTTTCCTCTACGAACATTTCTGAGATGAAAGATTTAACAATTTTATAACTCAAAACAAGAAAATTATGAAAAATTTAAAAATCTATTAGAAATTATTTTGCAGTCACATATAAAATGGTTTGCTCGTACAAAAACCAGCATTTTTCGATGATTGATTTATAAGTGGTTGATTGATTGATTAAATATTTGATTGGCTTATGTTTGGCTGGTTTTTGTATGGTTGGCTGATTGTTTGATTGATTGATTGTTTGATTGATTGATTTTATTTTGCTTCTTTTTATTGGCTGTTAGGGTTGATTGGTTGATTGATAAAATGTTTGGTTGGTTGGTTTTTGTGTGGTTGGCTGATTGATTGGCTGAATGCTTGCGACACATAGTAAATTCAGCCTGATAGCGACAACCTGATAAAAACAACATTGTGAAATTAAGACACCGTTATCTTTCTGTTTAACACATTTCATTTTAAACGATTTCAATTCATTTATTTTGCAAAGCAAAAAAATTAATTCTACTCTACAGACGCGTGTCGATTCAAAGTTGTATAAACAAGGCATAAACACATACAAGCATTTATGTCAAAACATTTTAAGATGTATGTATGTATGTATGTATGTATGTATGTATGTATGTATGTATGTATGTATGTATGTATGTATGTATGTATGTATGTATGTATGTATGTATGTATGTATGTATGTATGTATGTATGTATGTATGTATGTATGTATGT